TAAAGCCGGTGAAGAAGCTGAATGGCTTCGAAATTTCTTAGAAGACATTCCGTTCTGGCCAAAACCTTTGGCTCCTATTTGCATACATTGCGATAGTGAGGCTGCAATAGGACGGGCTGGGAGCGTTATGTATAACAGAAGGTCTCGTCATATACGACGAAGATATAACACCGTTAGACAACTACTTTCTAGTTGAATTATCACTATTGATTGTGTAAGATCAAAGGATAATGTGGCGGATCCGCTTACAAAAGGCTTAACTAGAGAGGGAGTTGAGAAATCATCAAAGGGAATGAGACTATGGCCGATGACAAGTCAACATGGCGGTAACTCTACCTAGAATTTTGGATGTTCCGAGATCCAGGTTCAAGGAGCTCAAACAAAGTTGTGATTGACCGGTTCAACATTGTCAAAGTAAAATCTTTGGTCCCTTCTCGTGATGAAGACAATGTTCAGTAACAAGGATAGAACTTTACACGTTCTTTAATGATTACCTAAGTTTGATGTGGTATTTATCAAATAGTGTCAATCTAAAGGATTACACGTTTAGGAATCACCTATGTAAGTGTGAAGTGGAAGCCGCTTCAATGAGAATTTTGTAAGGCCAATTCTCTACACACTTATGAAACCAGGCGGTGTTCATGGCTGAAACGAACACAACAATGAGAACCAAAAGACGGTTAAGGGTTGGTTGTGTGACATATGGTTGTCTAGGTATACACTAAAGTTCGACGGTTCAAAGATATCAAATCTACCGATTGACCGAGTATATCCGACATATGTTCACTACGGAAAGTTCAAAGGGAAACCTACTCATCCAGATGCGATTAATCCTTACTTGCAAATCACACAGCTTTCATCTATGATCATTCTTGTTACATCCATTCCCATTCATGTGGGGGATTGTTGGACTTTAAAGGCATTGAGCTTCAAAGACTTTAAGCATTGGGCTTTAAAGTATAAAGTGTGAATTGGAAATGGTGGGAAATAAAATGGAGGAAAATAAAAATTTGAATGAAGTGAGCTTTTGACTTGCACTTTGTCCCTCATTGGTGAGGGACAACTACATTTATGTGCTTATATATAGAATCACTTCTTAAAGCTCTTAAAAGGAGTTGAAGAGAATGAACTCTCGCGCCGTCGTCGTCGCTCGCTCGCCTCGGCTTGGATTTGGATTTGGATTTGGATTTGTCAAATGATCGATCGATAAGATTATTTTTTGGCCAAAATTTATTTAATTAATTATTTAATAATTAATTAAATGCCAGATCACTGCTGAAGATTCAGAAGGATAGTCTGGCCGCGGTCCTGGCGTAACCGCGGTAGGACCGCGCCAGAACCCTGCTGCAGATTCAGAGGGCCACTCTGGCCGCGGTCTGGCGTAACCGCGGTAGGACCGCGGCAGGCCACATAAACTTCTGAAAATGCACCTTTTCTAGAACAAACATCACACCTCTTCCAATAATTGCCTATAAATTCTGAGGCATGGCTTCGTTTTTAACACACCAAAAATATTATAGAACTTCCTTCTTTCTGAAAATAATGCATTCTAATTCGCAGTCTCTCTCTCTCTCAAATTCGTAAGTGTGATTTTGCTCCGTTCTTTAAGTTCGTTGGTATCCTGCAGTTTGTATTGCCACCGTTGCAGGAAGGTTTATTCCATTTTATCCAGGGAGGATTTAATCCATTACCTTGGCAACGTGTGAGGGGGTCAAAATTCCTTAAGGACGCACAAGCAAATTGTGGACTCGAAATATTTCTTAATCTTTACTGTTTTTTTCCAGTTTCTTTTATTCTTCTAACAGTTTTCTGATTTTGTGTTTTAACACAATAGCAACAACATATAATATGCTGGAAGTTCATACCATGTGCATCGAACTCCAGTATATTATGCTGGAACGGTCTCTGTTGCAACAAAATAGTGGCTATTTTTCATTAACTTGGTAAACACTGGCTATTTTTGAATAACCAGTCCGAAAACTGGCTAGAGCGTGCTATTTATACCAAAAATATGTGCTCTAACCAAATGGGTCAAATGGCCCGCAAAATCTTCTAAGTCATTCTGAGAAGCAGACTTTAAATAGCAAAAGGAATATGCTTGCGACTTCTAGGAATAATCACTTGCACTCTCTATATATTTTAAGGCCCCGTTTGGCCATGAGTTTTGCCAAAATAAATTTGGAATTTATTTTCAAAACTCATGTTTGGCCATAAATTTTGCCTACATTTTGCCCAAATCCCAAAATCAGCTATTGAGTTGATTTTGGGCCAAAATCTCAAAACTTGAAAATTATATTCATGTTTTCCCAAAATAAAGTTAGAAAATATGTTTTGAAAACGTATGTCCAAACACATTTTCATCTTTAAACCAAACTTCACCCAAATCAGATTTTTCAAAATAAATTTGGGATCTATGGCCAAACGCTAGCTAAGACTAGTATCAGCATCCGAAGAGACATGGTTAGTCAACTTGAGTTAGTTATAGACTATCTAAGAAAATGACTTATCTCCCACCTACATAATATTTTAAGCTAAAAACACTTTCTCTGTGTGACAAAGCAATGTTTTTAAAAGCAAAAGAACTGCAAAAATGTGTCAAGGTCCACGTTCATAGTGCTTGAAGTGAAAAGCGTGAGCATGCCTTCTTTGAAGTGGAGTGCACAAGTTACAAAATATTTTTAAAAAGGTATGATATTTAGCACTATTTTTACCAAATTGCGGTTATAATTACTACCTTTAGCATGCAACTTACCTTAATTTTGATATTAATCTAACTCCTCGAAGTAGAAATTAAAAAAATGATCGTATGTCATTAAGGTCATTTTGTGAACACCAGTGTTGTTAAAGGCTCGCTTAAGCTCAGTGAAGTCCAGAATGTGCGCTTCACCTCGTTAATTGGCACTTTAGTATAAACGCCAAGGTGTTAACACGTCTGCACCTTCACCGATGGGTCTATATATATATATATATATATATAGTCTTTCTATTCTTTTGTCCAAATAATTAATTTTTGTGTTTATTATTACATTTTCTTGCATTACATTTTTATTTTTTATTTTTTTCTCATTGGTGCTTTTTTTTTTTTTTTTTACTAAAGCTCACGCTTCAATTGCGCCTCGAACTCCAATAGACTTTGATGCTTTTTTGTGCTTTTCGCTTTTGACGGCTTTGAACCACCCCTCGTTTCTTGTCAGCAACCGACGAAGCAATGACTTTCAATAACACTGGATAAAGGTAAGTCCTCATTATTCATGACAATAACATCCAAGTGGCTGAAAAAATTAAGGCTTGAGACACCAAAAACTTCAATAGCACTTTTGCTCAGCCAACTAATGTTGAAGATGATAAACATATGAAGAAAATAGCTACGGTACAATTACAATGAAAATAACAGTGGAATTTAGGTATAATGTCCCTTGTTTGTAAGGGAGAATGGAATAGAGAAAATAAAATGGAAGGATTGAACAGTCCTATTCCCAACCTATAAACAACATACCCAGTATAATTAGGTCATCTTATCCCTGTCTGGAGAGGTAGAGAGGTTGTTTCCGATAAACCCTCAACTCAAGAAAAGGTAAAAAAGGAAGAAAAGGAAAGAAAGAAGAGGGAGACAAAAGGATTCTCTTTATATAGCCAGTATGATATTGTTTCTACATATTTTCAGCAAATACATCTTCTATTATACTTGAGCACAGACATTGGATTCAATCAAATAAGTTGAAAAGAACAAAGATATTCAAAGTAAAATTGTTACACTGCTGCAATATATTGAGGAAATACAAGCATGTTAACAAATGGATTACCTACTTATCCACAAAGAAAGTAATTTCTGAAATAAAACTACTTATTAGACTCATACACACCTTCAATCCACTATTCTAAGCAACATTTCAACCCAAACTTTAGGTTTCTACAGAATATATCTTTCAAGGAGAAGATCATGACGTTGGTGAGAGATGGAAAGATCATCATTGACGCTAATGACACGGCCGAAGCGAACCATGCTAGTGCTAAAATCGATCACAAGAAGGGATCAACGTAATAGTCTTCTCCAAGGTTCTCTAAAGTCCTATCTTGTAGTTACAGATGAAATAGATTTATCTTTCTCTTTGAGATCCAGTAGATGTTGAAGGTGCAGTTGGCTTCCATCGAGTAGCTTTTGTTCTCTATTGTATTCCGTTTGCCCTCCCATCCTTGTGTTGGCTTTCTAATAATAAGAAAGAGTTAAGCGCCTCCAAGGCCTATAAATAGAAGCTTTTCTTTCAGTCTTTGCATTGCCCAAAATCTCAAGACTATACTGCACTTGTTTGTCTTAGATAGTGGAAAGTTCCTCTCTTCTCACCAAGTTGATTGAATTCAATAGAGACCCGTTTGACTCTAACCAATTTAAGTGCAATAACTAATTACTGCCGCAATTATAGAACAAACTCATAGCAGTCCGGTGCACGAAGCATCATGCAGTACGCGAGGTCCGGGGAAAGGCCGCACCTCAAGAGGGTGTGATGTAGGCAGCCTAGCTTGATGCAAGCCACTCCGGGGAAAGGCCGCACCTTAAGAGGGTGTAATGTAGGCAGCCTAGCTTGATGCAAACACCAGTGGCTGATTTCACGATGGAGACAACTTTAACGTTGCTCCAAGGTTCCCCTTCTGTAGAAGGAACTCATACATATCTGTCTACCGAATCAGAAGAAGAGAAACACCACTATTCATTTACGGAAAAAGCAATTTCTAAGACTAAACAACTTTCAACTGCAAGCATCACAATCATATACCTTCAGCCACATTTTACCAAGTACTAGAATTCCACTTACCTGTAGCACAATGTGCAACAATAGTAATATTCACATTGCCCAAATCCTCAAAATCATACTATACTCTACCAAAGTTTTGATCTTTTACTCCCAACTTAATTCAATTAAACACTAAAGACACAGAAAAATAACAAGGAAGTATTCTTAAACCTCAATTTTGAGCAGCATTATCAGAAATGACAACATACATTCATAAAAGACAATTCAATAAAACTCAGCATAGTAAAACAATCCAAACATATAAAAGAGGAAACATTCCAAAAACCAGAATTATAACTAAGCTTCCCAAAAAACAAGTGTATTATTCAGTTAAAAAGGCAGCCCGGTACATTGTACATTAAGCTCCCGCTATGCACGAGGTCCGGGAAGGTCCAGACCACAAGGGTCTATTGTACGCCGCCTTATCCTGCATTTCTGCAAGAAGCTATTATCCTGCATTTCTGCAAGAAGCTATTTCCACGGCTCGAACCCGCACTTCCTGATCACTTGACGACAACTTTACCGGTTATGGCAACGCTCACCGTCCGGATTATTCAGTATTAAGTAAAACTTAAAAAGCAAGACTCAACCTCAGAAATATAAAAAACTTCTAAAGAGCCTTGAGAATATCCTCAGCACTGCTAACATTAAAAGCTCCACCTTCCTCTAAATTCAAGATTTTAACAACCCCATCTTCAACAAGCATAGAATACCTTCTAGACCTAATACCAAGACCAACAGGCTTATCACTAAGGTCAAGTTCACACCCTATAGCTTTAGTGAACTCCAAATTCCCATCACTCAACATCATTACCTCATCATTAATACCCAAATTCTCTTTCCAAGATTTCATCACAAATGCATCATTGACTGAAATACAAGCAATTGTATCAACCCCTTTTGACTTAAGTTCCTTAGATTTTTCGACAAACCCTGGAAGGTGTTTTTGTGAACAGGTTGGTGTAAATGCACCAGGGACAGCTAAAAGGACAACCTTTTTGCCGTTGGTGAGGTCAGAGATTAAAAGGGTCTTGAGTTCATCGGATGAATCGAAGTAAGAAAGTGTTGAATTGGGGAGTTTGTCACCAACGGATATGGTGGCTGAGATTCTTGAAATGGTGGAGTGCTTGAGAGAGTGTAAGGGGTGGAGGGGTTGCTTGAATTTGAGTGGGAGAGCAGAGAAATGGGAAGAAGAGGTGAAAAGATTGGATTTTTTGGGGGAAAGAAGAGAAAGGGGTTTTGGGGTTGAGGATTTTAGGAGTTTTGAGAGGGTGAAGGAAACAGCAGTAGTGGCAGCCATTGTTTCAGCTCTGTGTGTGTGTGTGAGAGAGAGAGTTGTAGAAGATTATGTGCGGCTAATGTCCTTAAGACTTGGCCTTTCTGTGGCTTTTTGGACACTTTTGGGGACGGAAGAAACTATGAAGGGTTGATTTTGAAGAGGTGGCAAAGATTGTAGTAGTAGGGAGGTTGACACTTGGCCTTGATCCCTTACTTTCGGTCAATTGCACAAGAATCCTGGTTTATAGAGGAGAATAAATAGTCTGGTTTGAATAACAAATTAGAAAATAAATAGGTATACAGTGTATTCACCCTTAAAATAATAGTCGAAATATATATATAAAAATATATTGAAGCGGAGTAAGTGAGATGGAAGTTCACGTCCGATATTTTATGTGATAAGAATATGCCACCTAAACTTACAGGTAAGTTTTATAAAGTGGTTATTAAACAAACTATGTTTTATGGGGCAGAGTGTTGGCCAATTTAGAACTCCCGTGACCCGAAGATGAAAGTAGTAGAAATAAGGATATTGAGATGGATGTGCGTCGAGGCGGAGCCAAGATTTGAAACTTATGGTTCGAGAACCTAAATCATTTTAAGTTACTGGTTCTAACTTAATAATTTATACATATTCAATGAATTAAATACATGGTTTGAACCAATGTTACTGGCTTCGGCCGAATCTGTAGGTTCTACTCTTCTGCGTGCCTAGATATGCGGGCAAACCAGGATTGATAAAATTAGGAATGAAGATATTATGGCCAGGGTGGGAGTGGCCCGATGGAGGACAAAATGCGAAAGTGATGCTTAGATGGTTTGGACATGTGAATAGGAAAAACACAGATGTTGAAGAGGTGTGAGAGGTTAGCTTTGGTGGGTCAGAGTTGAGGTAAAGGTAGGCCAAAGAAGTATTGAGGAGAGGTGATTAGACAGGATATAGCGTTGCTTCAGCTTACCAAGGATATGGCCTTTGATAGAAAGATGTAGAGGTCGAGAATTAAGGTAGAAGACTAGTAGATAGCCGAAAGTGTGTCTTGCCATACCACTAGTTAGTAGTAGTGTCAGTGTTATTTTCTATTATTGTTGGATTTCTATTATTACATGTTGTTCCTTTCGCTTTGTTTTCTTATTATCTTGTTGTTATTGCTACTGTTTTTTTTCAATCTTTCCTTGAGCCGAGGACCAATAAAAAACAACCTATAATTATTTTTAGCATGCTAAAAGTGTTAAAACCCCAATAATAGAGAGAGGCACTCATTACACATTGACAAGGTACAACAAGAGGTCCAAAATGAGCAAAAATGAAACCTGATAGATGATATTAGAATTCTACTGATTAAATTTTTCTTTAATTTTATTTCAAAATTGTAGTATTCGCTTTCGTGGAAATAGCCTCTTGCAGAAATGCAGGGTAAGGCTGCAATATAACCTTATGGTATGGCCCTTTTTCCGGACCCTTCGCATAGCGGGAGCTTAGTGTATAAGTTAAAATCTGACCATCAAATGGTTATTATTAAAGATAATGGTAAGAGGTCGGCCAAGCCATGGTCGTATCCACGAGGCGTAATGGAGATCAGGCCATCAAAAGGCTTACACGGCAGAACGTAACATATAGGCGTGTAAGGAAGGAGTAGGGCCATGAGAGGGCACGCTGGTTAAGAACCATTAGGTAAAAGAGGAAATGGACAATATATATAAGGAAGGCCAAGCAGAAGAAGGGGGGACCAAAGACAGAGAAGACAGAGAAAAGATCTCCGGGGGCAAGAAGAAGAAGAAGAAGAAGAAGAAGAAGAAGAAGAAGAAGCAGCAGCAGCAGCTCACGTTCAAGATGGCAGATCTGTGCAATCCCCTTCGTTGAATCAATAAAGCTAAATCTCAAAGTCATCAACAAGAATCATCCTTTATCCTCTTTATTTCTACAAATAAGAAACGATATGCGGAAGTTGTAAGATTATCATTTACATTTAATGTCTTCCATTCAATCTGAGATTTGTTATATAAATTCAATCTCTTGGATTTCAACATTCATGGTGCTTAGATCTAGAGTAGATTATATTTGTCTAAGATTTACCCTCTTTTCATCATTAATTGATTTAATCAAAGTGTTTAACATTTTTCGGTTAAACAATTTGGCGCCGTCTGTCGGGATTTTTTAGCCAAATTCTTTAGTTTCCTTCAGATCCAGAACCAGCCAAGTATTACTTCCAGACTGTTACAATCTCACCACTTCGGGGACAACACCTACTTGAAAAGAATGATAGATAAGTTCTTGAAATGACCGTATCAATCTAGGTCAGATCCCTACACAATAAAAATCATGACCGATGTCTATACGAGGGGTTTTAAGCAGAACACGGTCACTATGTATTTGGCATGACCGAGATCCCACGCGATGTATTCACTATGTATAACGACCCGTACTTCTACCCCTTGGGGAAGGGATGATAACCTACCGCATGACCCTTAGGAAGATCAGGCATACCGCGCATTATTCTCTTATCGCTCATGCTAAATGGCCTATAAACAAAGCAAAACATGTTTCCCTTTTACGTACGCATATCGAGAACACTGGACTCGGCCTCGGCGTCCCAACGGGTGAGGTAATCCCAACTCGCAAGAAGTCTAGACGCAGTTAAATAGTGGAGCTAAACGCGACTGCCAAATCAAAAACCGCTAGTCGAGCACTGGTGGAGCGAGTGACCCTACAATGCCGCTCCCCCTTTTACCGGCTTGTTAGATCGAGGTAACAGACAATTTCATTTGGTTTATCTTCACTCATTTGATTGGTTCAAAACAGGAACGCGAGCATTCGCATGGGTACGCAAGCAAGGGACCCACGCCACCAAAACGCCCCCAGAAATGGTCCCGTAGCATACCACCTCGCAAGAAATGACCAAGCAAAGCCCCCAAACCACAACATATCACAAATGACAGAAATGGCTCGGTACAGAAAAACTATCAAAAAAAACACAACAACAACAATCTCCAGTAAAAGCAAAGTCAAACAAACTGGGACTCGCCCATAAAGCGTGTAGCGTTCTCCAAGGAAAGCAAAACTGAGCGAACTGGGACTCACCCAGAAAACGCGCAGTATTCTCCAAATGAAAGCGAAATTAAGCGAACGATTGCCTCGACGCGCGCATGTGAGCACGTGATTTTTGCCCTAAGCAATAATTCCAAAAATTTCAAATAAAACAATTTCTTTAGTATTTTGTAATTTTTCGTGAATTTTGTGGCATTTTTTTCATTTTTTGGTAATTGTTGCATTTTTATTTGTGCATTTTAATTCATATGAAAATACAAAATATGCATTTTTGCATTTAGGATTTAATTTCATATTTTGGTATTAATTTGTTTTAGAACAAAATGTAAGAAAATAACAAAAGGGACCATTTTGCATTTTTTGGTATTAGTTTGCATTTCTCTTTAGGAATTAATTAGAAAATATAATTGTTAGAGTCAATTGTTTTTAGTTTTATTTTAGCATTTTATAAAATCAGAAAATAAATAAATACAAGAAAACAAACAAAAATATAATAAGAAGGCTGCCTTGAATTGGGCCATTGTCAATAAATTCGGAGCCCAGGTATTAAATCAATCCCCCAGGCCCAAAATAAACCCCTGAAACCCGCCTGGCCCATACCCATTCCCTAACCCGGCCTGCCCCCGTCCCAAAACGACGTCGTTTCGGCCTGTTAAATCTGGACCGTCGAGGTTACCAGATCTAACGGTCGAGAAGCCTACGTCCATAATTATATAACTGTCCTAACGATAAACCCCCCCCCCCCCCAGACCCCCCTGCCTCTCATCTCTCACACTTCAGAGAACCCTCCGTCGCCTACCACCGCGCGCCGCCGGCCGGAAATCGCCTCCACCGGCGGCAGTTGTCTAATGGCCCTGAAATTTACACCATGTCCTCTTTGTCACCTCCCCGTTCCATATCTGCTATTGGTTTCTTTCAAACATCACCCAAACGTCTCAAATAATTCAAACCCTAGCGCCGCAACCGCCGTGTACGGCAGCGCCGTCCCCAAATCCTCCCAAAAACGATACCCCTTTAACCACCAGACCTCCCTCATCATTAACTCATACCTAGAAACCCTCGAATCTTCCCGAAACATTACAAATTCTAAATCCCAATTCCGGCAGAACCCTAACTCAGAAATCTTGGGGATTTTGGACCGTAATTTCCCTAATCACGTGTTTTCTTTTGAAAACACACGATTAGGGATGTTACGTGTCAAGAATCCTGGAGGATTTAAACAACAATGGCTGGCCAGAGTTCGTTCCATAGTCAGTAAGCCTTCTTGTTCCTTTCTTTGCTGATTTTTGACTTGTTTGTTTAGCTTTAATTAGGTTTTTTTTTCTGCATGATACTTAAATTAGGGCTATAGGGTTTCAATTTAACTGTTGTTTGGATAATATATTTTGATTCTGGTTAGCTTTCGATTATGTTAATTGTTACCTGTTGTTCAAAATTCTGACAGATTAGTTTCATGATTAGCGGTAATGATTTAATAGTTTTAATCTTGTTGTTAGTTTAGATCATTTGAATTTCCATAATTGGTATTAGCTAGGGTTAATTAATTCAATTGGAAATTGGTTAACTAGGGTTTTTCTTTAAATTACTGTTTAAGCCTTAATAAATTTAGATTTCGGGATAAATTGGTTAAGTGTAATTAAAACATGTTGGTAATTCTAGGAGAGGTTTGAGGGTGTTTTAGGGATTGAAAATGGCATGTTTTGCCAAATTGGTAATTTTAGAACCAAGGTAAGGATAGAATAGGAATTGTAATGGGTATAGAACCTTTTAGGATGGACTATAGTGCAGGTTTCAGTAAACCTAGGGCAGTAACTTGTGTAACAAGTCAAGAAACAAGGGGTAGAAAATAGAATTATGAAAGGGGTAGAAAATAGAATTATGATAGGGACTAATGGGTAAAGTGAAAATCTGAAATTAGACCCTAAGTTCACCTATAAATAGGCATTCATTTGCCTTGTGCAACAAGTTTTTCAGCTCTAAAATCCCCCCCCCCCCCCCAAAAGTGTATTCTTCAACTTTCAGATCTAGCTTTTGAAATTCAAACGTCCAAAAATCCAAAAAAAACAATAGAAAATTTAATAGAAAAACCAAAAAAAGACAGTCACTGTTTCGTTGAAGTTTTCAGTTTAATTTCCAGCTTTCTTAGC